TCAATGAGATGGCAGGTCTTGACAGGAGGACTCCTGAGTAGCCACAGCGTCCTGGAGTAGCTAGCAGCTTAGCACAACAACTTTTATATACCCCTTGATGAGTAATGCAGGCATCCAATCAGGATTTACCACATACACCAATCTGGAGTCTTGGGATCATCACAGTGTATTAATATTGTAAAACTTAATACCTGTCGCTCTGCCTAAATCATCAAATATTCATCAAGTTTGTATTCTACTCGAAAAAGTAAATGTAGTAAAACAGAGTCTTAAACCCAAAAGTAATGCTCTGGTTACTAAAGTAACCCTTGTTCCCCGAGGAGGGGAGCGGAAATGTTATAAGTGGATTTAATCCTTTCTATTTTCGTTCAAAAAACCAATCATCCGAAAGAGTATGTAAATGGACCAATGAAATGCCAAATGAATTGGCAGCGTCAGCTTGCGCACCTGATGCTTGTTGCAATCAATTCAGAATAAAAGCACAGCGAAAGCAAGAAGACACTAACCTTTTTAAGCTGAAGAGACTAATACCTACAGCTAAGGAACAATCATTATGGTGATGCAATATAGCATTTCCGTTCCCCTCCTCTGGGAACAAGGGTTACATTAGTAACCAGAGCGTTCCCCTTCGAATGGGGAACTTCAATGCTATAAGTGGATTTAATCCACAAATGAGGAAATGTCTGGAAAACACCATAATGACTGCATCTTAGCTTCGCCTCCGATGAGAGGATAGTCAGGCATAGCGTGAGCGCACCTGCTTCATAGAGAGGTGCGGTCTTCCAATGTGATCCCTGGCCCTAACTTTCCCACTTCAAAGAAGATTTACGGATTTATATTTTTCTGGAGCCGCAAGCATCTAGATAATTACTAGGAATTTAAATACAACAATACGTTGGGAAAGCGTGCAGTCTCGAAGGGGAGGACGCTGTGGAGGCCACCTGCTACCCAAATGGGGAGATATGATGACAAAATATATGGACTAGCCCTGAGAAGGGGGAGTACGTATATAATAAGATGGTTAGCGGAGAGGGAAGACACGGGTCTGTATGTGAGAGGGGCGTATGTGCACTGTGTCTGAATAAGCATATAGGCTCACCTAGTGGGGATCACACATAGGGGGCACCTATACCCAAAAAGCAGGCTGACCAGTGGGCAGACCTACAATGTAATGGGCCAGCGAGTGACTCCTCCGCTGAGTCAGTGCTGGGAGCCTCGGATGAATCTGCAGGGCTCATCTAAGCGGGGAACTTTCCTGTCAGAGTGAAAAAGCACACATATCTCTGTTAGGGAGAATTGAGCAGCAAGCGTGTTTCAACTCCTTGTTTCCTCAATTACCAAGGGTTACCTAATACCCTTGAGGAAACCAGCTCCACTTGCAGATTGTAAAACCTTGCAAATGTATTAGGTGTTGCCCAGCCCAGCTCTACATTAGTCTGTTAGAGAGGCGCCGCAAGCACGCGCCCAAGAGGATGCGATGATCCGAGTGGAGTGCGCACGCACTCCTCGGTGACACGGCTCGCCCTGGCTCTCAAAAGCAAGGGAGATGGCATCCACTATCCAGTGGGCCAACCTCTGTTTTGAAAGGGCATAAGAGGGGGGCGGGGTAGATTAATTCGCCTAGCGCCTCTGAGGAACAGGATGATGAGGTTATGCCTTCTCATGGTGCTGCCAGCCACAGCGTCATGATGAGCAGAGATGGCAGCCACTTAAACTTTGAGTGTGGAGGGCGACAGCCTGCTCTCCAGCCTCTCTTGGAGGAAAGAAAGCACAACGCTGATCTGGCAATTTCGGGGGTCTTCTCTGCAAGAAACACACTATTTAGTGAATAGACTTCACTTCAGGGCATAGGCGCGCCTCGAGAATGGGGCTCTAGCCTAGGTGATGGTATTAAGCACCGCAATTGGTAGGTTACCCAAGTCTTTCTCGCGTCTAAGGACACGTGGAGGTTCCAAAGATTGTGGCGAGGGTGCCAGACGGTGCCCTGTCCCCGAGAGAGTAGGTCCTCTCTCAAAGGGATTAGCCAGGGGAGGGCAGTCGCGAGGTGGGAGAGCTCTGACATCCAGATCTTGTTGGGCCAGAGGGGCGCAACTAGCAAAACCTCCCCCTTGTCCTCCCTGATCTTGCACAGTAACTGTGCGAACAGGCTCACAGGGGGAAACGCATATTTTGTGCATGCCCTGAGGCCAGCTGTGGGCCAGTGCATCCCTGTCGAGAGAGCCCTCGGTCAGGGAAAAGAACAACTGGCAATGAGCGTTCTTGGGGAAAGCAAACAGACATGCGTCCCATGCGCATCTGGAGACACGATCATGAAGCCAGTGCTGAAGTGGTCTCATATGGAGTAATCCTTGCGGAGTGACAGCAGCTGCGGATGCCATATGCCCCAGGAGCCTCAGTAATAATTTCAGTGGGACTACTATTTTGTCGTCGAACTCTCAAACATTTCAGCATTAGCTGAGCGCTCTTTTCAGAGAGGCGCGCTGTCATGGTGACCGAGTCCAGCTCGAGCACAAAAAAAGAGATCCACTGCATGGGGGCGAGTTTACACTTTTCTTGGTTGACCTGAAGCCCCAACAGGTGGAGGTATCGAAACACTTTGTCTCTGTGCATAATCAATTGCTATTGAGAGTGGGCTAAAATCAGCCAGTCGTCGAGATAATGGAGTATGCGGATGCCTGCGAGCCGAAGGGGCGCTAAGGCACCCTCCGCGAGCCTGGTGAAGACATGCGGAGACAGAAAGAGCCCGAAGGGGAGGACTTTGTATTGCTAAGCTTGACCTTTGAACGCAAACCACTGATACTGATGGTGGCAAGAAAGAATGGAGACATGGAAGAATGCGTCCTTCAGGTCAGCAATCTCCTCTTACAAGACAGGGGCAGACAGGGGGCTGACCCTGGTGAATACACACCCGTGAACTTGGGGGGCAGTTTGCTAGTTGAATCGCGTAGCAGAGTCTGATTGTACGAATAAGCCACCGCGAAGGGCTGACCAGCGCTAACCAGGCAGGCAGAGCTCTCGCTAATGAACTCATCGTTACAATCGCTGACGTACCAGCAGTGGGGAAGCGCGGAGTGGGTGTGCTGATCCGGGAAATGCGAGGGTCCCGTGGAAGAGCTGGAAGCAAGAGATTCACTCTCACCTCGCACCCAAGCTCCGGAGGGGGGGATCGAGGGGTGGGAGAAAGGAGATCGTCCTTCCAGTGCTTGTGAGCCACTGGCGAAATGCACAGAACCTGTGAGCTGGAAGGCATAGTGTCCCAGACTGCCAGAGTTTAGGCTGTCACATCCGGGGAAGTGGAAAAGTGTTTTGATGTTTGCGTGGCACTGAAAAGTGCCGTTGGAAATGGGGTCCAGCCCTCCAGCGGAGAAAGTGCAAATTCCTTCTTCTCCGGGTGACCCGTCTCAGGGATGCTTTGCGGTCCAATTACCTGACTTAAAGGCGCCTTTGGCCGGGGGGGTGGGAGGGTGAGGGGGGGTTCTGTCTGCTTCCAAGGTGCTCGACTTGCCTCCTTCGCTGGAGTTGCAGGCAGGGGCAGGGCAGCTTTCGTAAGCGGGCGCCATCGGTGAGGAGCAGCAGATGTGAATGGCTCGGCGGGCGGAGTGGGCTTACGGTCCCGCCGATAGATGACATTATCCATCGCATCAGACTGCTCTCTCTCTGCCTTGAATTCCTGGGTGAATTCACCAACGGTGTCACCAAACAGGCCAGCCTGGGATATGGGGGAGTCAAGATAGGAGACTTTGTCGACTTCGCGCTTATCAGCCAGGTTTAGCCAGAGGTGGCACTCCTGGACCACTAATGTGGACATCGTCCTCCCTAACGCACATGCAGCGGACTTAGTGGTCCAAAGAGCATAGTTGGTTGCAATGCAGAGCTTGTGTAGCAAGCTTTGGTCGGACCCACACTCATGCAGCTGGGCCAGCGCCTGTGCTTGGTAGCGCGGATAGGCAGCCTGGCCCATAGCCTTGTAAGCTCTTGCTCCGAGAGAGGCATATAACCTTCAGGATTTGGATGGGGGACGAGGCAGACCCCGCCAAGAAGAGGCGCCACGCTGACAAAGATTGACCGCAATGATGCGCTCGACATGAGAAATCACCTCATACCCCCTGGCTGTTCCACCGTCAAGAGTGGTGAGGGCGGAGGGACACACAGCACGGGCAGAAAAAGGTGCCCTCCAGGACTGCGTGAGCCTACTGTTCACCTCTGCAGTGGATGTCTGGTCACGGTGTCATCAAACTTAAGGGCTACCATCTGGTTAGACGGATCGCTTCCTTGCTCGAAGCTTGAATGGAGCGATTGGAGGAGAGGGAGGTCCGCGTGTCCGGAGGCGACAGATAATCTCCCACTAGAACCCTCAGACCTGCCTGATTACCTGTGCAGTGTAGGGGACAGCTGGGGTGGTTCGCCCTTTTGCAAGGGCTAGCTGTGATCTTAATTGCGCAACAGACATGGCATCGCAATAACAACATAAACTGCCTGCGAGCACCGCATTAACATGCTGGACCAGAGACATGCAACGCAGTGCTCGTGCCCATCATCCAGGGACAGGAAACCACTGCATCCAGAAACGCACAGTCGGAGCGCCATCCTGACAAGGACGTGCAGCACGACTGTGAGGCTTTTTTAGGAAATTTGCAACTTTATACGCTCTGGAGGACCGGACCCAAAGAACGCCAGGCAAGGATAAGCCCAGCTCGACTGTCTGCCGCCGCGTGTACACACTCTGGACCAGGAAAGCGCTCTCGTTCACTCGAAATTGCTGGATATCAGCAGGAGGAACCCTCATCGACTTTCTCAGAAGGCTGTTGAAGTCGCTGAAGCGAAAATGTTTGTGTCTTGCTTTCGCTGTGCCTTTATGCTGAATTGATTGCAACAAGCATCAGGTGCGCAAGCTGATGCTGCAAATTAATTTGCCATTTCATTGGCCCATTTACATACTCTTTCAGACGATTGGCTGTCTGAACGAAATCCCCATACGTGGATTAAATCCATTTATAGCATTAAAGTTCCCCATCCGAAGGGGAAAAAACTTTATTAATAAAAGCTGCAACACAGTCCAATAGAATGGGCTTTCTAAACTTGAGGCCCTGGTATACTGCAAACTAACCGTCCTGGAGCTCTACCTTCTTTGATGTGCTGTGTCTTCCCAGTGATGTTTCTCATTCAGAGACTCAGACAGAGAACATCATCAAACAGATGTAATCGCACCAGTAAAATCCCTAGCAATAAGATTTTAAGCCACAGAGGTACTGCTTGCCAGATGTTTTTGAAACTGTTAAGCCGCCGTTTTTGAAACTCTAAGCCGCCATCATTGTGTTTAATGATGTTTAAACATTTACAACCCCACATACTGAAGTGTTGGAAAACAGTATACCATCATTTAGCCTTTTCAATATTATTCAGACATAAAATATCCTTTACACACGAGAAAATGTTTTGCTGCATTCATGTCATGTGTGAAACTTTTTGTCTAATTCTGTAGACACTTAACAGTTCTGTACGGTTTCTCTCCAGTGTGAATCCTCTTTTGTGTTTTCAGATGTGGTAACTGATTAAACCTCTTGTCACAGTGTGAACACTTGTATGGTCTCTCCAGTAGTGATGGGTCATTCATGAAAGATTCGTTCATTTTGAAGGAATCTTCAATATGACTCGGGAACTACGAGTCCTCTCAGGGAGTGATTCGTTCATCCGTGCGTGCGCACATTTGTGCAGGTAGTATCGTTAATTTCAAGTCTTCCATCACATTGGCAGAAACAAATCATATGCAATTAGAGCCGGAAAAATAATTAATCCGCTCACCTCTCGAGTCCTCTATCGGGTCTGAGTCACTCGTTCATCACAGGCCAATCATGCACTTTTAGAGTCGGAAAAAGAATTGATCTGTTTATCTTTCGAGTCCTCGGGTTTGAGTCATTCTGTCACGTGATGAACGAACGATCATGGCTCCTATCGGCTTATATGTGACTGTCAGTGTAACGTGAATGAACCCCTGACATTTGGAGACATGAAAAGGTGAGCTGAGCAAAGAGACAAAAATGCCTTCATAGACAAAAGAGCAGATCAACATTGAATTATTTTCTCCTTATATTCGGTTTATGACTTATTTGACGTGCAATCAACTTTTTGGGCTAGTTGTAGATGTCTTTGGAAGCAATTCGTAACATTTTAATAATATTTTGGCAAATTGAACCAAATGAACGAAATGACTCGAAAAAAGATTCGTTCATCTTAATGAACAAGACTCAAAGATCCGAGTCAGTAAAATGATCTGAACTTCCCATCACTACTCTCCAGTGTGAAACGTCTGATGCAGCTTTAATTTTAGAACTGTAATAAAAGTCTTCTCACACTCAAAGCACAAATACTCTTTCACACCTGTGTGGATCTTTATGTGTTCATTAGGGTTTACTGATTGGTTGATACTTTTCCCACACCAAGTGCATGTGAATGGTTTATCTCCAGTGTGGGTCTTCATGTGTTTATTAAGGTCTGAGGAGTTGCTGAAACTCATCCCACACCGAAGCTGTGGGTTTTTCTCCATTGTGGTTTATCATGTGTAGATAAAGGAGTGATGGTTGGCTGAAATTCTTCCCACACTGAGTGCATGTCAATAGTTTCTCTTCAGTGTGGTTCCTCATGTGTAGATTAAGGTGTGATGGGCAGTTGAATCTCTTCCCACACTTAGTGCATGTGAATGGTTTCTCTCCAGTGTGGATCCTCATGTGTTGACTAAGGGATGATGAGCGGACGAAACTCTTCCCACACTGAGTGCATGTGAATGGTTTCTCTCCAGTGTGGATCATCATGTGTTTATTAAGGTCTGATGATTGGCTAAAACTCTTCCCACACTGTATGCATGTGAATGGTTTCTCTCCAGTGTGGATCCTTGTGTGTTTATTAAGGTGTGATGAGCAGCTGAAACTCTTACCACACTTAGTGCATGTGAATGGTTTCTCTCCAGTGTGGATCATCATGTGTTGATTAAGGGATGATGAGCAGATGAAACTCTTCCCACACTGAGTGCACGTGAATGGTTTTTCTCCAGTGTGGATCATCATGTGTTTATTAAGGTCTGATGATTGGCTGAAACTCTTCCCACACTGAGTGCATGTGAATGGTTTCTCTCCAGTGTGGATCCTCGTGTGATTATTAAGGTGTGATGAGTAGCTGAAACTCTTCTCACACTGGGTGCATGTGAATGGTTTCTCTCCAGTGTGGATCCTCATGTGTCGATTAAGGGATGATGAGCGGACGAAACTCTTCCCACACTTAGTGCATGTGAATGGTTTCTCTCCGGTGTGGATCATCATGTGCTCATTAAGGTATGATGATTGCCTAAAACTCTTCCCACACTGTATGCATGTGAATGGTTTCTCTCCAGTGTGAATCATCATGTGTTGATTTAGGGATGATGAGCGGCTGAAACTCTTCCCACACTGAGTGCATGTGAATGGTTTCTCTCCGGTGTGGATCATCATGTGATAATTAAGGTGTGATGATTGGCTGAAACTCTTCCCACACTGAGTGCATGTGAATGGTTTCTCTCCAGTGTGAATCATCATGTGTTGATTTAGGGATGATGAGCGGCTGAAACTCTTCCCACACTGAGTGCATGTGAATGGTTTCTCTCCAGTGTGGATTATCATGTGAATCTTAAGTTTGTTTTTGCTTGTCAAAATCTTTCCACACTGAGTGCAGGTGAAACGATTATTGTCTCTCCTTTTCAAAACACCATCAGTCTGTAAATTAGTTTTTTCCTTAATTTTCACATGATGTTTCTCCTCTTTACTCCCCTCATTCTCTTCAATCAGGTCTGAAATAAAAAAAAAAGTTTTCATTAAGACTTAAAAACTCTCATCAAAAGCTGAAAAGTGAAAAGACACTGGAAACATTGTCTACACACACTGTATTTCTGATGCACATTAAATGTTAAATAAATCAGATCATATTTTGTTTGGTCCATTAACATGTACACATTTAAGCAGATTCAATTTAATTCATCTATATTTATCTAGTGCTTTTACAATGTAAACTGGGTCAAAGTCGCTTAACATAGAAGTTACTGTAAATTGAAACGGTGTCAGTCCAGTTTTTAGAGTTTCTTACATAATTGATCATAAAAGTAATTTTGGTCACATTGATAAGGCACAGATTTGAAAGGTGTAAATGGTGGACGACCCCAGTATTCCAGTTTGGATGTGGCAGATCCTAATTAGGTGCCATGGTTGCCCCCCAATTGGTTCAAAGCATATAAATGCGAGAGTGAGCTAGCTTCTGTAGGATAGTGTGGCTACTGGGCGTTGTTTGGCATTATTTATATGCGTAGTTAAAGTTAGTTATTTTCTTTATTTTCCCCTAGACATTTGTTTCTTGATTTGTTGTTTTATTTGTTGTGTATAATAATTAAGTTGCATATACATTCTTTTTGTTGTCTGAGCTCTCCTATGTTGCAACTCGAACGAGGGGGTCATAACAATGGTCTATTTTTTTTTGTTTTTTATATTCATAATTACAACAAAATGTTTTTCTAAAATTTGTTTAGCAGAAAGGGAATACTTGTTCATACTGTGCCTGACTGGTAAGCACATCAGAAAAAAAGTTCTGGGGTAACAGCTGAACGAACGGCTGAATATTTGCCTTGTAGACATGAGACATACCTGTACAGCATCTGCATAAAGGCTGGAATGTACACCTTTCCCCCTTCTTTGCTGATGGGATTTCATCCACTCTGGGGTGATTTTGAGGCTTAATAAAACTTTCTCTGTGTTTCAGCAAACTAACTGATTTTTGGGGACATCTTATTTTGACATATTCTAAGTAAATGCTTTAAAAAAAAACTCAATAGACTGTGGGCAAATTTACTCATTTTTTCGTTATATTCTTGATATCTTAAAATTTCTTGATATCGACGTCACTTGATATGATGGCTCCGAGCATGGCCGCCGTGTTGCGAGCTCCCAGCAAACTTTGTTTTGTTTTGAGTGTTTTCCCAGGTGAAAAAAAAGTGTGCTAAAATGCACTTTATTTAAGTATACTTAGTACACTTTTCAGTAATGTACTAAAAGTGCTTATTCGCACACTAATTTTGTACTTAATGTACTAAAAGATAGTATTATGTATATGTTAAGATAAACTTAATACCATCTAAGTGCACTCAACTGTGCTATTTTGAGACACCCTGAAATTGAACTAAAATGTGCTTTTAACATACTATATCTGTATTTTAAAATATATGTTTAGTTACAACTAGAAATACACGTGAACCCTACTTTTAAACATTTAAATATATTTATGACTAATTTAAAGTATAATAGTAATATATTAAAAGAATATACAAATTGTAAAAAAAAGTGTGCTAAATACTGTATTAAAAGTGCTCGATTTTCCCAAACTAATTTTGTATTTAATTTACTAAAAATTAGTATTAAGTACATTTTAAGATAAACTTAAGTACATCTAAGTGCACTCAACTGTGCTATTATGAGACAAAATGAAGCTGATCTAAAATGTGCTTTTAACATACTCAACATCACCTTCCGAAGAGCTCCATTAGAAAAGACTCCTTCTGCAAGCAGAATATGACTCCCTGACAAGTGAAAATGCAAAGGATCTCCACATAAGATCATGCTAGATTCATTATGAATGTAGTGGGATCACCTGGTGTCATCACAAGTGATTTTTCTATTAGCCAATCGTATAACTCTTGGGTGTGTATATAAGGGAGGATTTGGGTGTGTGTTGTGTACTGAAGCACCGCTTGTGCGTCTCTACCGGAGTCCCGCCTCTGCCCCTTCCGTTCCTGCAGGTAGACATTGTTTTGCTTTCCCTTTAGCGTCGGGTTGCGTAGTGGTTTTTTAACAGGCTGTATTTAATTTCTTAGCATCTGCGGATAAGATTGGCTGTAGCCTGTGTTGCTGTCACCCCAGCTGGATCGCTTTTTTATTCCTGGGCTGTGTTTTAATCTACAACTGCGTCCGTGAGTGCGGGTTGCTAAGTGGCTTGCAAACTAGAGGTATGTAAGTTACGCTTTTAATAATAATGCGCCGATCTGTCCAGTGACTTAATGTCTTGTCCTTTTTTTAGGAAGAATAACTGCGTGTGGGCACGCCGAGGGAGCAACATTAGTGATATTGCTGCTTTTGCTTTACAGACCGCTGCATTTTCTAGACCACTGCTTTCTAGACTGCTGCTTTATATTGCTGCTTTATAAACTGCTGCTTTACAGACCACTGCTTTCTCTTTAATATTGACCGCTGATTTGATATGGCTGCATATTGCTGCTTGGAGTCCGTTTGCCGATACATTTTTAGTGCGTGGATTCATTTTGTGTTTTCTGGGTTTCATTATTTTTCTTTTTGTACCTAATTCATTGTTTGATTTGTGCTTCCTGTGGGAAGTTTATTCTTTTTGAGTTAATTAATTTATTATTATTACTGTTTTTGTTTTAGTTCCTCTTGCAAGGAGATTTTTTTTATGAATCTCTCTTGGGGAATTTCTGTGTTGTGTGAGATTGTGACTGTACAATTGTTGTCATTTTTGTTTTGTAGGAGCTGAGGCTTCCAGGCAGGCCGTTAGTTGTCCATCGTGCGGTGGTGGGATACGACACTGAGTGCTGTGTGTGTGTGTGTGTGTGTGTGTGTGTGTGTGTGTGTGTGTGTGTGTGGTGCACTTGCGGTAAGACCATTTGTAATTTTGTAGAGTTTGGTGCTAAGCAACTAGCTTACCTGCCACTGGTAAGCCTCTACTCCTCCTTTTGTTATTGTGTGTTATTTATGTGATTGTGTGGCTACTATCAGCTATCAAGCTTTTTAAAAGTGATTTATATTGGATAATTAAGGAAAATTTTGTATTTTTGGTATTCACGTCTCATGCCTTTTTCTTCACACAAAGAACCTGTGTTAATTTCCCTATGATCAGGGTGGCGTAGTCAGCTTTAATTTAGTATTTTTTTTTTTCTCCCAACTTACCGCTCCGCTACATGAACATGGTGAACGAGCTGCCAGGTTATTGTGTTACCAACTGAAACAATCCTCAGCAGCTGGTTTTATAGCAGCAGTTAGTAAGGGTGATGGCAGTATTATTACTGATCAACAGAGAATTAATGATCAATTTAAACACTTTTATAAAACCCCTAGCAGCTCTGAGGTAAACGAAATTGGACGTATTGAGAGCTTTTTCAATTATTTAGAATTGCCATACCTTTGTGATTCAGATCAGTTGGCATTAGAATGAAATATAACACCTTCTGAAATTAAAAATGCAATTAAAAAATTGAAAACCGGAAAAGCACCAGGCCCTGATGACTTCCGGCCAAGTTTTATAAGAAGTTTACTGCCAAGCTAACACCACTGTTGTGCAATGTATTTGATGAAGCTCTTGTTTTGGAGACAATTTTTTTAGGTACTTTCAAGTCCATAGTTTCGTTAAAAAACACTTCTCTCCTTCACTGAACCAACCAAAAGCATGTTGGATAGATGAATTGGTAAATATGGACTCATATCAAAGGGGTATGATGTCCATGTTGTATGAAGTGGTCTAAAGAACTGCCTCCCCTTCTCTAAATTGTATAAAGCTAAAATGGGAAGACAGACTGGGACTAGAAATATCAGATACAGCTTGGCAATATGCCATAGAACTGGTACACTCATCCCCTGTATGTATTAGACATGGTCTTCTTCAGTTTAAGGTGCTTCTTAGGCTTCACCTATCTAGGAGCAAGCTGGCAAAAATGTATCCAGGGTCAGATTCATCTTGCCCCAGATGTGGTTTGGAGCCAGCAGATCTGATGTTCTGGCGATGCCCTAGATTACATAAATTTTGGGCCAATATTTTTGGATCATTTTCATCTATATGTAAGAGAGATCATTGCCTTTTCTTCTTTATTGGCCAGACGCCTGATTCTCCTAAGATGGAAAAAACAAACCCACCATCCCACAAACATTAGAATTGTTATCACATCTTAAACTCGAGCACCTTAAGTACATCATCCAAGACTCTACAAAAAAGTTTTAGAGGTTTGGCAGCCTTTCCTCTTTTACATGGAACGCTCAGAGGTTATTATATCCTTGGTGAAAGTTTATCCCTAGTTTCCTAATTTATTTTATCTATTTTTATTAATTAATTTATTTTTATCTTTCACCCTTTTTCTTTATGGGGTGTATGTCTGTAGCTATGTACCATGTTAATTTGTTGTTCAATATGTGTGTTGTGGAAAAATTGAAGACTTTGGAAAAATCAATTAAAATAGTTGAATAATAGGAATGTAAGCAGTACTAAAACATAGTTTTTAGAAGAGTAATAATCCAATTAATCTACTTACAATCTACTTGCATGTCTCTGTCGAAGGTCTGTGAATTTAAGCTAGTTATTAATTAAAGAAGAACAAGCCTTTCTCGTACGTGACTTTGTTCTTTGTGTGACTGAAATGTAGGTAATGGGTAAGCAGGATGAGAAAAAAATATATATTCTTCTATTATATATTCCTTCTATGCTAATCAAGGACTTCTGAGACATTGCAAGCATGGGATGGGTCCTCCTGGCTTGGTAGAGTTGATCACAGCTCCAGTACACATCTCTGCCATTTGCTTGCAGTAACCATGTGCTTTTCACCATACACAATTCTTCTGCTTGTGATCTTCCTTCAGAT